CCAATTTGACAGATCGCAATGCATCCTAAGGAACGCCGACGCAAACTTGACAATATTAAATACGGTTTAACGTATCTTGTAATATATCTTTCTAGTGTAAATTCAAGTACTGTACAGTTCAAACGTGTGTACACAGATTTAACTGTACAGTTAGACTGTTTATTAAGACCTAAGTGTTTAGATTCATACGATGTATGGATAATTGTCACAACAAAACTCCAAACCGCAGACAAAACTGGAATTTCATATCTGTACATCTATATCTTATATTATAAAGTTTAACGATTTGTATTTTTGTGTTTATTGCATCTATTAAAATTGAAAAAAACTACTAGCCGGTTACAATTATTTTTTAAATTCAACACGGGCGAATTCAATCAATGAGTCGAAAGTTCTAGAATATTTTCTTAATATGTAGTTATAAAATTTATTTAAAGGAAATACGCCATAAGCGAATGTGTACCTCATATCCATCGTTTAGTTAATTTATTGGATTTAAATACTCGTAGTATAATCATAGTATTATGAATGCGAAAGTTTAAATGGATGGATGTTAGAGTTTGTAGCCTAAACGGCTGAACGGGTATCGATGAAATTTGGTATGGATGTAGAGGACAGTCTGGAACAACACGTAGGCTACTTTACTTTTGTTTTATTATACGCGGACGGAGTCGCGGGCGAAAGGTAGTAGTATATAATTGTTTGATATTGCTAAATAAACAGACAAACAATCGTTAAAGTTTTAAGCCATTTACTAATTAAAATAATTACTAGAATGATTTAACATTTTAGGGTAATTGCATAATAAATATAAAATATACGAATTTATAATTATTGCTTTATAACAACAAATGAATTTAATTAACTCACTTCCAGTAGGACTGATTACTGCGATCATAAAATATCAGTGTACTTTAAAATGCAATATAACATTTACATCCAAGCTACTGTAGCTTGTCTAAATTAGATTGTTTAGTTTGATATATTTATTTAGACAAATAGCACGTACTTTTTTTTTATATTAAAAGGTTGCAAACTATCGGCCACCTGAATCCGCCGGCATGGCTGAATGAAATGGCGACGACAGTTGCTCAATCTTTACGGCAAATGGTAAACCTCTCACCTTCAATCTTTCCTATTCATGTACAGTCGCGTTAATCCGCGGTGGTCCACATCATAAAAATTGTCTCATTCATTGCAACGAGACGAATTCCGCCTCTTCCTACAAATAATAAGACAGTGAGTGTAAACGAAGGCATAGTTATAAAAAGAAACCTTTTACGTACATTCATAAGCTGCGTCCTTTTTGATAGTGCGAAACGATTATCTCAGGTGTATACATTACATAAAATGTATACATTGTTTCCACAAAGTTATAGCAATATAATCTATCCTAACGCTGGTGGGTCTAGAAAGACCTAACACGCACTGTCGGAAATATCATTGGGGGCGCATTTTGACCCGCCGCCGCACAAAATAAAAAATTATGATTTTACTTGCCGCAGTAAACGTGTTAATGACTATATTATAGTCTATGGTGTACACGTTCACCGTTTAAACTATAAAACCCTGGCGAACAGCGACTATCGAACGTTAAAAAAGAATTTAAACATGCACTCGCAGGGAGAGAAACGAGCTTGTTACCGTTACATTTATGTGTTATAACAAGTTATATCTTGTCCTTTTAAGTGACCACATGTTTCCAAATTTAATTTCTTATATGCAATCCTTTTTAAAAAGCAATAATACCGTTAGTATTAATGGTTTGATGTTGAAATCTACAGTAAAGATTATGGTCAAACTTAAAATTTTAACATGAAACAATGAATAGCAAAGAATTATCATCACCAGTTAGTGAACTGTTAGGGAGAAGAGAGGGAGAACAGTTAGGGACGTATAGTGATACGTCCCACGGAGGGTCTCAGAGCCTACCCTAAGTTAGAGTGACTAGGCCATAGCAACCAATGTAAGCGCCAATAATAATAGTCAGGGGTACGGATTGTCCGTCGAAGATTCTAGCCTATTCCTTAGTTAGAATGGTAAAATATTAGTTAATTAACTAAAAAATACTAATATTTTTAAACCAAAAATTTGCGTATGTATATGTATGTATTTATATATAAATGGAGAAGTAGTAAATACGAGATATACCAAGTGAGATGGACGTCCTTTGTCTCTGCCTACCCTTCTGAATTACGGGCGTGAATTATGCTGTTGTTATAAAACTTAAATACTCCACATGGTATTTTCATATGAAATAATCGTATTTGAAAAAAATTATCGAATACTGGTTATTTATTACTTTAATGCTGTGTTTCTGAAGTTTCCATTTATTCTATCACTAGCTTTCGCTCGCGACTCCGTCCGCGTGGAATTAAAAAAAAAAACAAAAAAAGTAGCCTATGTGTTCTTCCAGACTATCATCTACATTCATGCCAAATTTCATCGACATCCGTTTAGCGGTTTAGGCAAACTTTGCAAATTAGGTTACCTCTAACAAACATCCATCTAAACTTTCGCATTTATAATATTAGTATGATTAACTATTGACTCATTAGATTGAGCAGTTTCAAAGAAGTAAAACTCAAGTAACGTAGTTCGGAAACGCATTTCATAATTCTATGTAACCAATAACAATAACGAATGGTTAAAAATTGCTGGGAAACTGACCAATCTTAGATGAATATAAAATGTCTACGCATTAGATTAACGAAAGTTTATCTTTCCTAATAGAAGTAGCATATTAAAATAGAATTAGTAGATTATCAGAATACTTAAGAGGCCTTAGTTTATTTGTATTAATTAACATCAGCCATCATTAGCATAACGAACGCTCTGCTAAACATAATGAGTTAGATACAGTTCTCAGTTCAGATAACGGCGAGAATATTAACTTATTTATACTTTTACAATTCTGTTCACAATACGTTGAAATTCTTACTAATATTATAAAAACACTTCTGAAACTAAGCTGTCGCGTCTTGCTTTGATTCTTATTCTTATGGCGGTACAATACTAGATTTTTAGTTGTTTTATAACATAAGGTGGCAAACGAGCAAGCGGCCACCTGAATCCGCCAAAATGGCGAAGCGACTCTGCCTATAGTCATCCGCAATTGCAGTTGCGTTGCCTACCCTTATACGACGGAGGAGGAGACGCACATTAAGAGGATACTTCCCCTTCCTATGCATCTCCTCCACCGTCAAATCCACTTCCCCTTCCCATCCTCTTCATATAAGAAAAGGGTGGTAAAGAGAAAGGGACTTAAATTAGGCCTCCGGCACCACTTTCATCAGAAGAAACACGGAATTGTTTCCATTTCACGGCTGGTTGGGCAACTACTGTTGAATTTGCTGCGAAACAATCGACAATCGCACAACAGTTGTGCGATAGTTTAGTCAAAGGTGTATGCCCCCTCTTAATGCAAAAGTTTATAAAGATGGATGGATGAATGTTAGAGTTTGTCGCCTAAACGGCTGAACGGTTTTCGATGTAATTTGTTAGTCTGGAAGAACACATAGGCTACTTACACTTTTGTTTTATTTAATTCCACACGGACTGAGTCGCGAGCGGAAGCTAGTCATTTCATAAAATATTCAACAGAGCAAACGAATTATATATCACGCCTTCCGTAATCCATATAATGTGTTTCTGTGCTCATAATTTTTGCTCTTAAACCGGTGTTATTTTCTATATCAACGTTGTAGCGACATCTAGCGATAACCGCAGGAAGCTGTCATCTACTCTAAATATATTGTACCGGCGAACGCAGATGTGCTTTTCCATACTTCCTTAGTTGCTTTAGTTATTAGTTTCCGATGTTGAGATAGAAATAAATTAAAAGTAAGTGAGAAATTATTTCAACTGTAAATAATTATATAAAAAGTATTTTTTTTATCTTACTAGATTACTTCTTATCTTACCAATATTATAAATGCGAAAGTTTGGATGGATGGATGTTAGAGTTTGTAGCCTAAACTGGTTAACGGATCTCGAAGAAATTTGGCAAAGATTTTGACGTTACTCTACAAAGGCACGTAGGCTACTTACTTTTGCTTTTTTCAATGCACGCACAAAGTCGGAGGCGAAAGCTAGTGTTAAATAAAAATTGTTTCTTTAAATAATACCGAATGATTTACTGACCAACAAAATAATGATATAACAGGCCCCGGCGAGATTCGAACTCGCGATCTCCTGTTTACTAGACAGGCGCTTTAACCAACTAAGCCACGGCGCCGCGTACATTTAAGAATAAAAAAAATCACACAATAAACATTTCCTTCTTGTTTTAATATTGTAAAAAAATAAAAAAATAAATGTTGTTCATCTGCTACAGAACTCCTAATATTTTGTTCTAAGATTGAATGCAGTCTACTCTGTCTGTCTATAAATGCTTTTTTTTTTTACAACAGAACACAGATTGTCTACGCGGGAGAGATTTCAAGAATTAAGAATTTTATTAAATTAACCGACATTATCCTAGTTATTTACATATTAAAATATTACTATAAAGGTTTACACGCTGTGTATACTTTACAGCTTTGTTATAATCTTTTAGAGTTGTTTATTCAATTATTGTCTCTAGAAGTGGTGTATTTGAATTTATAAAACTTAGGTTATTATTAATTAAAATGATTAAATGAAATTCATAGATTAAAAATTATTTCACCGTTTTTTATATCCGGTACACAATACAAACGTTTTCAGGTGGCCGAACGAATCGAACCATTGCCTTTTTCGTATGACTATAAAAAACTAAGGTATCATCGAATGCGCGCAAACGAAACGATGTCACATTTTATTGCACCGGCTAAAATAAAATAATGTTTTTATTACAACTTTGTTAGGCAACAATTTCTGAACAAACGTTCGGCAACTGTTTTTGTATTTGGAATCAGAATAAATGTTATTCAATTGTCAGGATTAAATTAAGAAGATAGCAGCCGATATCGCTACTTGAATGATTCGTTAAATAATTTAACCATATTAATAAATGTTACCTTAAACCACTGGATTTGAAGACTTCGTTTATGTAGTATTCAAGGTAAACAAATGACGTATCTACAGATTATTAAATTATTTCATCTGATGCACCATTCGCCTATTGTTAGAGGGAGAGGGGCAATACGTGCATCTCACTCTGTGATCATTCGTTAATCTCGCGACGTTCTTTTCAATCATTTTTCTTTTTTATTGTTTGCTTTTTGTGCCAGTACCGATTCACGTTCTATTATTAAAATTGACAATAGACAACTTTTTTTCTTTTAAATTCGTTTGAGTTACATGATTCAAAGCCGAAAATTGTAATATGATCTTTGATACATCATTGAAGACTACTTCTATTCGAATATTAATAAAATAATTATTACATGTTTAATATAATCTACAAAGATATAGTTTTTTTAGCCGTAAAAGAATTTTTTAAATCGGCCCAGTGGTTTTGTAATATTAAGTACCAGCTGTTCCCGCGCGGCTTCATCCGCATGTAATTATGAAAATTTTATTTTATTGTTTACATTTGTCAAATTATCGATTACAATTGTCAAAATGACATGATATGATGACAACCTTGCTTCCTTGATGTTGGCAGCAACTTATGGTCTCTATTCTACATTAGGGTTTTTATCCAAAATATTTACCCCTTAAGTTTAATGCCGATAAAATATATAGCCTAAAGCGTGACGCAAGTGTAGGGCTTTTTACGAAAAAAAGTATTATTAAAAAATATGCTGTAATTACTGACATCTTATGCAACAAAGAAGTGTGAGTTTACACTTTATTATATATAGATAGAAATATGAAAGGTGAACACTGAAACTATCTCTAAACTCCTTGAGACAGTGTATGGCGGTTTTATTTTTACCGTTTTTATTTGAATTTAATCACGTTGAAAGCGGACACATAATTAAGCGATGCAGATATTTTGTAATTGGCTATTTATTTTATGTTCTGTTTTATTTCTTTAAAAGCCAGGTTATTCGGATTAAGTGAGACCCAAAACAAGCTAAGTTAATTATGTTATTTAATGATTATTAACAAACATTTTTTTTGTTACAGAATAAAAAGTTGTGTTAAATAAAAGAACAGAAGAAAGATACAAATCTATACTATAAAGAGAAAAGATTTGTATTTTTGTATGTATTGAATTTTTTTTTATATTATTTTATTTAAATATTATTTTTTTTTGCATGAAATTGTTTTAAAACACTAACCGTACTAACAAATACATACATTTTTGTTTCTACGTTTTTCTTGTCAGATAATCATTTTGAATTTTTAGTATATTTTGTTAGTTTTTTTTTAGTATAAGTGTAAATATGTAAACAAAAAAATGTAATCATAAAGGAAATAAAGCTATCTTTATCTTTATGTATTGAAAAAACTCAAACTACTGGGCCGATTTTAAAAAATCTCTCACCATTAAAAAGCTACGTTATCAGTGAATAACAAAAGCTATATTTTTTATTATTTCTTAACGTCACGCGGGTGAAGTCGCGAGCTACAGCTAAGCACTAAACGCTGTAGTTGTTAGGGTGTAATTTTCAAATCAAATTGTATACATTTGTCCGTCTGTTGGTAGTCTGTAGGCTGTAATTAACACGTACTCGCTGAGTCATTAGCGACAATCCTCTCATGAATATGAATTAAGAAGCCAATTAAATCAGATGCGAAATTGGCCGCGGGCGTAGGTGTTTGGTATCTCTGATTTTATTCGATTTATATCTAATCTATTGAATACAAATCTTCTTATCTATGTTTATCAATGATTTTAATAGACGATCAATTGGTTTGAATTAGTTACGTGTACAGTTTTAATATTAATTTTAATCAATGTGTAGGAATGTTTATTTCGCGACGAAAGAGTTAGTAGGTAATTGATGTACAGTCATGAAGAATTGCGGTGTTCTAATTTCAAAAAAGTTTCCTAACTTCTTTCAACGAGACATACTCCGCATTTTTTTCTAATAGGTAATTAGGGATTAGTAAGTTGCGCAAACGACATTTTTCGTACAGACGCATTTAAGTGTTCTATTGGTTACTGTTTCACGTTGTCTTCTCTCAATGTACAAAACATACAAACGAATGTAGCTTATAAACCGCCAGATTCCCCGACTGTACCTTACTCTTTTCGTTGGATGATTTTATATTTTTTTATAAACAAGTAGCTGTTCCTGTGCGGTTTTATTTGCATGAAGTGATAAAAAAATCTTTATTTTAATGTATACATTTGTTAAATTCGAAATTTGTTCAAAATTACCGATACCGTAATAACCTTGCTTCCTTAGTATTGGCAGTTCGTAGTTTATGGTCTCTTCCCCACATGGTTTTTTTCCAATCTATTTACCTCCTAAGTTTAATAGCGTAATAGCGCCTAAAGCGTGTCCTAGTGTAGGGCTTTTTATCAAAGAAAGAATTATTGAAAAATGTGCAGTGATAACTGAAATCCTACGCCATTAGTTAGTATTGAAAAATTTTAAACACAAAACTTTGTTCAATAACAATTAACGATACCTTTTTCTTCATTTATATTGAAAAGGAATGTGTCAAATCAGACAGCTGTATAGGCTTGACATATAATCATATAAGAAGAAGAACATACATGTACGGCAGCTGCTTTGTATCATTTAATTAGCAACATATTACGCTCATTTCCAAAAGGGGAGGGCATAAAAAGTAAACTTGCTAGTGCTTAGTGGATGACGTACGTAGGATGTTGCAAATAAGGGTGCAGTTTCATTAGCCGTTACCGCCCGCATGCGAGAAATTAAAAAAAGAGAAAAAAAAACATTTCAAAAGTATTACAATCTATATTGTCTTCGCTTACATTGTCTCTTACTTCTCTTAACACTTTCTCAAAATGCCAACACCCTCACAATAGACCAGGCCTGTATTTTGAGGGTTTTATACGGTCCCAGTACAAGGGATTTGCAATTTAACCTCCAGACTATCCTCGACTTCATCCCAGTACAACGAGGCAAGCCAGTCTGATGCATACTCTTTATTTCTTTTCATGTTTTTCATGTCACAGTTCATTGCCACTTTGTTGTATGCATAAATTATCGCAAAGGGACCCGCTTTAAAAGATTCAAAGAGTCAGAATCCCGTCTTTAACCGTAGAATCAAATGTTAGTATCAATAAGTTTTTAAACGGTGGCAATCTAGAGTGTTACGGGCATTTAACACAATTAAGCTAAGAGTTTTTCCGAGTAACGTATTCGAGTTACACCTTCATTAAACTGAACGCCACCAGTACACATTAAGGACGGGCACACACTTTTGAATAAACTATCTCACAACAGCCGATTGCCGATTGTTTTGCAATCCAACTGTTTACTTCCACAACCAAAAATCGGGTAGTGTTGGCACCTCCATACAAGCATATAGAATTTAATGCGAGTCTATACAGTTATGCAATAGTTTAGATTTAGGTGTGCACACGCTCTTAATTTTGACACAAATTGGCAATATTTTTACGCGTTCTGATGATAAAATACATCAGTTTTTTTTTAAATATCGGCGAGATTTTGTTGTCACTAACATTATTTATCATTTAAGCTCTATGCTTGTACAAATAATGGTTTAGGAATAATAAGAATAAATAACTCTATGGCGGAATAAGATTTATCACTATAAGATAGATCACGAAATAGGAAAGCCGTACCCTTACTGGCTATTAACGCTTAACTTTTCTTTAGATCATACTAGCTGTTCCCGTGCGACTATCCGCATAGAATTATGAAATTTTTTATTGTGTTCTTTGCACGTGTATAGCAAATGTCAAACTGACATGACATTATGACAAAACATGGCAACCTTGCTTCCTTGATGTTGGTAACAACTTATGGTCTCTTTCCCACATTAAGATTTTTATCCATAATATTTACCCCCTAAGTTTAATGGTGTGAAATATACTGCCTAAAGCGTGACGCAAGTGTAAGCCTTTTTAAATAAAAATTACTCTAAAATATGCTGTATTATATTATACTTATAATTATGATTATAATAAAATCATATCTGCTAGTCAAATTATTCATAAAATGTGTCTTTGTTTGCCGTTTCTTGTCAAATTTGAAATGTTTGATGTACCTTTGTTATAAAAGATCGTTTACTGAGCGTATAACCGTCTTTTTTATATCATCAAGCCTAAGTAAAAACTTCACAGCTCGCGTTATTATATCGAGATTCCTGTTGCTCTATCGGGTATTTAGAGCCTTGTCGCCGCACAGTTACTACTACACACGGCCGTGTTAAGTAGGGAACGCTATGATATCTTAATTATAAGAATTTTATACAATTTTGTGTATCACCATTGGAAAGCTGATTTGAAAATAATGTTACCAGAAGCGAATTCTAAATTTTTTATTCTATATTTAGTTGAATTGTACAGGAAAAAAATTGCCTTCACACGCCAACTTTAAACAGAACTGTTGGACTCGGTTAAAACTGTCATTTAGGACTGTACATCTGTAGCAGGCTTAACATACACGGTGATAGGAGTATTAATATTTCAGCGGAATAATGTTTGTAACCCGGTCACATGTTTAAAAAGTGTGATCTTTCATGTAATGTAGGTTTTATCGGGAAATCTGATGAGGGAAGGTCATAAATAATATTGTATTTCTACTTATTTTATCATGTTTCGCAAAGGAGACGTCAGTGTGTCAGCACAGGCTCGCAGTCGGTATCCGCGCCCGTCTCACGTAATGTGCGGGAACGCATCCCGATCGGCTCGCGCATTGAATTCGTTGCATTAGTTATGAGAAATATTGTACAATGTTTTCCACATATGACCTTTTGGTTTTTTCACAGCACATTTTATTGCTTCCCTTTGATATTATCTATGTTATTCGATGCAATGGTATTTGTTTGTCTGTAATAGTTGAGACGGTGAATTCTTCTCTCAAGTTTAAGGGTTAATTATGCCTTTTTTATCCTTTTTGTTTATGGTTTGTAATGATATAAATGTACACTTGTAATTGATAATGTCGTATGTTAAAATTAGAATCCATATAACATATTAGAT